TTTTGCAAGGGATGGCATGAACCGCAGGGACTGGCTTTCTCTGGTTGCCGTGCACAGTGATTCGTGGCTACTTTCTGTGGCTTTTTATCTTGGAGCTCGTCTTAACCGCAATGAAAGGTACAGTCTATCTTTGGTTTGGGTGTGAGCATGTGGTGAGGATTTAAGTTGGTTTTTGCTCGGTGTGTGCAATGCTGATGCTTAATTGCTGTGTGTAATGTTGAATACTGGGGTCTTGTTATTGTAATGGGTTCTGAAATGCCTCAGGATCGTGATGGGTGAATGTTGTTGAAGAAATAATGGTTTTTAAATTAACTGGAAATGAATGTTGTGATTCTGGATTATTTTATACAAGCAGTCCTTTTATTAGAGGTCTCTTAAGGCAATCTTATCTTCTAGTTTTCCTTCTCATCCAAAAGAGTAACAATTCAGGAAACTAATCATGAATTTGAGGTTGGTGGGATGGATTACAATCGTACGTCTGTGAATTCTTATTATTTAATTTAAGTCCTCATCTTTTGGCAATCATGTTTATCTTTCCCACTTACAATTATGAGCTGCAAAGGGGATTATATTTTAAGCTGTAATAATATGCTTTATATTTGAACTCAACAATTATGTCAAAGCAATTCATAAGTGCCTTTATCTTTCTGCAATCGTGTTTATCTTTCCCTCCTATATTCAATTTAGAGCTGCAAAGGGCATTATATGTCCCAAAGATACTTAAAGAAAATATAATAAACTGATTTTAATTTATTATTTGAACGGGGGAATATGTATATGCTGTTGCTTTGGTTCTTGGAAGTTTTTCCTTAGTAGAATTCATGTTCTCAGTTTCCACGACATCTGCTCTGTATCGAGCCTATAACCCCTACTTTCTATTGATGGTTCCATAAATTCCTTATGGCAGGAAACGTTTGTTTGGCTTGATAAATGATCTTCCTACTGTTTTTGAAGTTGTGACTGAGAGGAAGCCGGTAAAGGACAAGCCCACAGCAGACAGTGGAAGCAAATCTAGGAGCAGCACCAAGGTTAGTGTTGTTGTAAGTGTATGCATTTTATTTATTTATTTATTTTGTGGTCGGATCATCTGAATTTAGTTGATTAGCACTCTGTCATGGTTAGGTTATACTAATGCATTATAAAAGTTTGTAAGGAAAGTAAATCTATCAATGTCATTATATCTTCTCAAGTTATTATGGTACTAAAAATTAAGCACAAATTTAACACTTTATTGTACATAATCATCGACTTGTTTATTAATTTTTGTACAGTCAAAAACTAAAGGGGACTTTAAAGATTCTGGATCTTAATCTTTTTGTGGAACTAAGAACAGAATCTGTCACACTGATGCAGCGACAATTATATTTTCCTCTTTGCATTATGATAATAAAAATTACTGTGTAGGTGAATAAATGGACTGTATTTTAGAAACCCTTTGATCATGAAATCTGTTTCATGTTGCAAATACTTTTAGGAATAAATGGAATGTATTTTAGAAACTCTTTGATCATGAAATCTGTTTCAGGTTCCAAGTACTTCTAAGACATTGAATTAAAGGTTGCTAAACCTTGCTGCTATATGATGCTTGCTTGTTCATTTATCTGCAGAGATCAAGTGATGGGCAAGTTAAAAGCAACCCGAAGTTTGCAGATGAAGGATATGAAGAGGAGGATGACGAGCATAGTGAAACCCTGTGTGGGAGCTGTGGCGGAAATTACAATGCAGACGAATTTTGGATTGGTTGTGACATATGTGAGAGGTGGTTCCATGGGAAATGTGTGAAGATTACTCCTGCAAAAGCTGAGAGCATAAAGCAATACAAATGTCCATCATGCAGCTTGAGGCGGGGCAGGCCCTAAGCGAGGGCAATCTGAGAACTGAATAATACTGTTTCATGGCCGACAAGATACTGTTATATTGTTGCATCTCCTACAGAAGTTTGTGTAAACAGTATAGTATCTATGTCTGATCATAATCTTTCAGATTAAGTTAATTTCTTCTACCCAGATTAATCATCAGTGTATGTTATATAATTTATAGAATAGGATACCTTACATTCTATTTTGTCGATTAATCTATATTTTGCTTGAATTTACCAGGTGTATGTATGCTTATTTTATTTTGTATCTGAATTCTGACACACAAGGTAGCTGGTAAAATACTGAGGTGTGACCCACCATTCCTGGATTCTTCTAATTCTATAACTATTGTGTTACTGAATAGGTTAATCAAAATCTTTTCTGTGTTATTCTATTTTTACATTACATACGTGGCAGACTTGATATTAAACATACAAGGTTGTGTTTGATTTGAGAAAAGTATAATGTTTGTATTTCCTTCCGTAAAAGGACTACCAAAAAGGGTATGTTTTCATGTTTTATTGGTTCCTAAATATGTTTTCATGAAAGTGAAAAAGTTGTTATAAACAATATAAATTTGGGAATTTTACATGTGTTTCTCACTAAATTAATTTTCGTTTCGGTTCTTATATAAATGTTTGCTTATGTTTTGGTTTCTACAATGTGCTAGCATTGGCTAAGTGAACAAGTGTATTTTTTTTTCTTGTTTTCAACAATTTTTTATATTTTGTTTTGGCTTTTAATTTTATTGTTCACCATAATTTCTGTTATTATTTTGGTCCATGTTAGAGGTAATTGACTCAATTGGTTGATTGAGAACGGAATATGGTTCCTAGTAGTATAAATCATAGTATAAATCTTTCTTTCGTTTATTTTTGTTCCTTGCATATTTTGATATTGCATTATGGTCTAATTGTGCATCACTAGTGATATATTGCAAAATTTTCAAAAAGTTTAAAAGTACAAATTATCATCTCTTATGTTTTTCTGTTTGTTTTCACAATTGGTATCAATCCTCTGCACTGCAATGTTAAGCATCACTTAATGTCTAAAGGAAAAGGAAATCATAGACCTGGTTGAAATCAAGCAACAGCTTACAACAAAATAAGAGTCCATCAAAGGCCTCCAACCTTAGAGAAGAATTTCTATACTATAGAGACGGGATGGAGATGTATGTTAAGTCTACACATTACCAGTTGTGGAAGAAGATCATCATTCGAGGATATATTAAGATCACGTCCTAAAAGAAGACTTGGTAAAAAAGAAGGATTTTAACACCATGCAATTAACCAATAATGAAGGACACACTTCAACTTTTATTTTTGTCCAAAAATGAATATAAAAATGTTTGTAGGTTGAAGGAGGTTAAGGAGATGTGAGACTCCTTAAAAATTAACTGTGAACAACAAAGACGTTATACATTGCACTCCTCATATATGAAAATTTTCAAGTATATTTATAATGAGAGATTCTCCTAAAGGAATATAACATTTTTTTTATATCAACAATATTAGTTGTTAGTATTGTTAATGGAAGGAGTTGAACCCACAATGTTCAGTGAGAGTTAGACGGTCTACACAGGTTGTTAGATGATTGATTTATAAGGCACCGTTTAAACCACAATGTTCAGTGATAAAGTGTTTTTCAAACGTTTAGTAAAACTACTGCAGCATTTGAGAAAGAAAATTTTTAAGGAAAATAGCGTCTGATGACAAGAGCATTTATCAATGATTAAATTCGTAAGCAATTGTAGCGTTTGTAAATAAGATGTTTTGTAAAGCTAAAACAATAAACACACAATTATTTTATATCGGTTCAGTCAAATAAGTTACGTCTAGTTCTTCTCTAAGACCTCTTAGAGGGTTCCACTATAATCTCAATAAGATTACAACTGTATTAGCATCACTCCTGGTTACATTAATCAATCCTGGTAACACCTATTACACTCACTAGAACTTAGTATTAGACACCACTCCTAGTAACCTAGTCAATCCTCCTAACACCTGTTACGCTGACGATTTCAAGTATTCTAAACCACTCATGGTTCCCATAGTCAATCTTGGAAACACTTATGACACTAACTAGTCTAAGTTTATCCACTCCTAATTTCCCCTAGAAATTGTCTAATAGGCGTTTAACTCAACTAAGCTAACCACCAAGTGTTTGAATTCTCTTTAGAATGTATAATCAATCATATTGTTTACAAGTCTTAAATGATAACTCTCACAAAGAAGATGTGTTTATAATATAACTCAATCTAATAGATCTCTTAGGATTTTCTCTCTTCTTACATATGTAAGCTTATGCCTCTATGAAGCTTAGGAGTGTATTCTCAGAGTTTTTATTCTTACATGAGTGTGAGTTTTGCTTTTTAGATGATCTTTTTGTTATTCACGTGCATATCCTTCTTAATCTTCTTTACAAGGGATATTATATCTATAGGCTTCATGGGAAAAGATCTGTCAGACAATGGTTGTCTTCAACATGGACTTCCATATAATTTTGTTGAATATAAGTGGATTAAAGAATTACTTGTATATTTAAATCCAAATGTAAAAGTTCCAAGTAGGAATACAGTTGTTTATAATATTTCAAAGAAATTTCATGAACACAAAGAGAGGGTGAAACTTGTAATGCGTAAATCTCATAGTAGAATTTGTTTAACATCTAATTGTTGGACTTCTATAAATCAAGAAGGATTTATCTATTTGACTGCTCATTTTGTTGATGTTGTTTGGAAGTTGAATAGTAAGCTTATTACCTTCTGTAAAATGGAATCTTCACATATTGGTTATGATTTGGCACAAATTTTTTTATCTTTGTTGCTTGATTGGGAAATAGATAGGAAGATTTTTTCTATCACATTATACAATGATAGTGCCAATGAGGTGTTGCATAAAATTTCAAGTGAGCAATTGAAATTGCAAAATAGTTTGATATGTAATGGTGATTACTTTTATGTAAGGTGTAATGCACATGTCTTGAATATTATTATGCAAGAGGGATTAAGGGTGGCTTCCGATGCTTTGCAAAAGATTAGAGAGAGTATAAAATATGTGAGAGGATTAGAAGCAAGAAAATTGCATTTAAAGAATGTGTTATTCAAGTAAGGGGTATTGATTCCAAAGTAGGTTTGAAAATGGATGTTCTTACTAGATGAAATTCTACCTATCTTATGCTTGAGAGTGCAATTAGATATCAACGTGCCTTTGAAAGTTTGGCTATCCGTGATAGAAATTATGTTAATCGTCCATCAAATGGTGAGTGGAAAAACGCTAAAAAAATGTGAGTTCTTAAAGCCATTTTATGTAATGAATAATTTGATTTCAGGTTCTTCTTATCCAACTTCTAGTCCTTACTTCATGCAAGTTTGAAAAATTGAATGTTTGTTGCAGAAAAATGTAAAAAGTGATGATCCGACGATTAAAGATATGTCATTGAGTATGATTAACAAGTTTAGTAAGTATTGTGATCAATGCTGTGACAATCTTGCTATTGTGGCTATTCTTGATCCACATATGAAGTTTGAAACAATTCAATTTTGTTATAGAAAGATTAATCCTTCTACTTTTGAAGAAAAAATTAATATTTTAAAGGTTAACGTGTATAAGTTGTTTGAAGAATATGTCAAATTATATCAATTGAGTCAAACACTTCAAGTTTTCAAGTTTCCCCTCCAACACCACAACCTTCTTTTACTAATGATGAGCTAGTGATGGATGCAATAGATGTTAGTTTTTAATTCTCAACTTATTTTATTTTATTTCTTACTTGTGATGAATGACATATTAAATTTATTTCATGATGTCTTAGGAATATGTTGATTATTTGAGCCAACATGTTAATGACATTGGAAGGTTCACTAGTGCAAAATTGGGCTTTAACGTCACCCCGTAGACGTCGGACCACAAAATAACCAACGTAAATTATTGACCAGTGCGTAAATAAGTGGGCATATAGACGTTCGTTAGGAGGGGCACTGACATCTATTATAGACGTCGGTGCCCCTCCTAACGAACGTCTATATGGTTGAACACTAGGTGAAAATTCATTTTTTTCTGCCTTAGAGACGTCTGGTCCCGCCACCCCAACGTCTATATTCGATTATAGATGTCGGTGCCCCTCCTAACGGACATGTATATGTTTGACAAGTAGATGAAAAGTTATTTTTTTCCGTTGTACAGACGTCGGATCCCGCTATCTGACGTCTAAATGGCCTGATAGGGTAGGAGAAAAGTTGTTTAGGACGTCATATTAGTGAGGGCCCTGACGTCTAGGCCAGAATTAACGTCAGTTCACCTAGGGAACCGACGTCTAGTTTGCTGTTAAATTAGACATCAAACCCGCAGTTACGAGCAGTTCATCGTCTTTGTTCTCGCCTTTTCTCTCCACGACATTGCTTTTCCAGGTAAGTTTTTGTCTCTTTTGAACCGTTTAAACGTTCTTTAATTCCGATTACATTAGTCTTTGGTTGATTATCTTTCATTTGAATCGATTAAAATGAGTTTTTGTTGTGTTTTGCTGTAGTTTTTCTCGTGTCTTTGGGTAGCGTGATACCGCATTCTCCCTTTTCTAGTTTCCTCGTAAGAAAAACTTGCGTCTTTTGGATGTCTTATAGCGTTTCAACCAAAAACCGAACTTCGGTCCTTGCCTAGTTTTATTGCCACCGTTCGTTTTCATTAGCGGTTTTAGTGGAACTAGGCAAGGACTTAGATTCGGTTTTTGGTTGAAATACCATAAGAGATCCAAAAGACGCAACCTTTTCTATGACGAAACTAGCAAAGGAAGAAGGTGTTACTACGCTACTCAAAGACATGAGCTACAGTAGACGTTGGTTAATGCAATGTTCGACATTTATGGAGTCCTTTAGACGTCGGACAATGTATTATTCGACGTCTATGGAACCCTTTAGACGTCGGGGTCATGCAGTAACCGACGTCTATAAATATGTTGGACTTGTTTGAGTTCGACGTTTGATTAACGTCACCCACGAAGACGTCGGTTCTGGAGCTGACATTAAAAGGCCAAAATAACAGATTTAAATGCCCTTTTTGCATTAGTGGTTTGAATTGGTCCTTTATTTAGATGAATGGAATCTTGATCCAAAGTTTTTTGATAAGTTGGATGTATTGAGTTATTAGAAGGATCATCAAGATCGTTATCCAAACTTATCTAAGATGGCTTGTGACGTTCTTAGTATTCCAATCACTACAATTGCTAGTGAGTCTGCCTTTAG